TCCTTGGGAGGAACATGAGACTGTCTCCTCAGCAAAATTTACAGTTTCAGAAACTCTATACAGGGTCGCCATGAGTCTGAACCTACTGGAGGGCAGTTAGCCGCAACAACAACAACATGGATAATAATTTAATATAATACATAGAAAATGTCCAAGAACACTCTAAAAATATTAATATTTATCTAACATGAAAAAGTTTATGTATCAAGTGAGTTTTGTTTTTTATTGCATGTTGCATGAGACACAATACTTGATAATACTCTATACATGGTAATAAATAAGGTATCTGGCACATAAAGGGGATGCAAAATTAAATATTTATTTATCATTCAAAACATGTGGTTTTTTTTCAACAGTGAGTGTGTTTCTAAATTCACCTTCCACGAACACAACATGGGGCATTTATAAAAGCATTACATTTATATTTTATCAGAACATTTCTGTATCTCCATGTAAGGAAATGAAACAATTGCTCAAGGAAATATATTCAATGAATATTTAGAAAATAAAAAAATCATAAAAATGTATTTTATTTTTCATTTCCCTGCAGGCACTTTCTTTTAAGAAATTAACTGATATTATTTAAAAAGAAGTTGTATCTGCTCTGAAAGGGATCACATTAGAAGGTGCTGGATAGAATGGGAGAAAATGTGGAACAAAACTCAAAAAATCATTAAAAAAAAAAAAAAATCAGGCTTCCTGGTCAGATAAAACTAGTGGCACCCCCAAGGTATCCCCAAGACTCAATGTCCAGTCAAACAATAGACACGTCAGAGAATAGGTCTATAAGGTGAACAATGAAATTAGAGAGGTACGCACACCTTAGAATAATCAACCATTTGAGATCAAAAGGGCAGCATTTTCCCAAGGACAAAGTTTGGAAGAGTTAGGAAAGAAGGAGGCATGGAAACAAAACACAGGGAGGAAGTGGGGAAAGTGACACATTGTGGGGATTGCAATCAGAGATGAAACAAGATATGTTTAGGGTCCTCACATGCCTGTATCCTAAACATGTCTCCTGCTCAATTAACACAGCTCAGCCCTTGGAAAGGCTGCCAGGAGCCCAGAACACTTTGTGGGGTGCCTCCCAGAGGTCTTGTGGAATGGGGACTGTTCAAGAAGGAACAAGAAGGGGAGCCTCCTGCTCAGCCCAGTGACAAGCCAGGACCCAGCCTCAGGGGTCTGGCGCATCCCAGGGTGCGATGTGTATAAGGAGATAGGCCTACAAGGGGAAGAGGGGCCCAGAGGGTCCCTGATGGTCTGAGGAGGCAAGGCTTGGAGGGTCCAGTCAACAGGGAATGGGTGCTGACTTAGCTCTGATGTCAGGACTGCGAGTACTCACCCCTGTGAGCCCCTTCCATGCACACAGGTGTGTTCTTTTACAATCAAGGAGTGGCACACATACTTGGTTTGGTGTTTGTACCTTGTACCTACTTTACCAATGGCCTGAGTGGGGTGTGTGTGCAGATGGGAGCCACAGGAGGCCAGCCGTGAGTCTTGCTGGTACTTGGAAGCCCTTTCTGCCCCTTGGCTCTGTGCCCCCAGCACCAAAGCTCAGGTCCCAAGAGAACTGAGAAAAGGCTGGATTGCTGTGCTCTCTCAGGCCTCTCTCTCTAATGGTGGTGAGGACAGTCAGAAGCCAAACTCTCAGCCTTCTTAGCCCAGGCCCAGGGCTGGGGCAGACCCATGGTGGAATCAGGAGGAGCAGGTTCAGTGTGGACAGAGGGTAGACTCTGCATTTGCACCAACAGTTCTTAACCCCAGCCATCCTCGAGAATCCCCAGAATTTCTAAACCCAGTGCTGCTTGAGTGTACCTAGTCCAGTCCAAACTGTGCCTTGGGCTCAGTGGCCTGTGCCCAGAACTCCCCAGATGTTTCCTCCATGCAGCTAGTGTGGGGGACACAGATGGAGCTCACAGGAAAAGGTTGTCAGAACAAGCCTGTTTAGGTTTGGGGAAAGGGTCGCAGGAAACTGAAAAAACCCAACAAAACAAAACATCAACCCAATTACCATCAAGTCGATTCAGACTCACAGAGACCCTATAGGATAGAAAATAGCTCTCTAGGATTTTAGAGGCAGCAGTTCAAGCTCCCCAGCCGTTCCTCGGAAACCCTATACAGAGTCACTATGGGTTGGAACCGACTCCACAGCACTTAACAACAGCAGTCTTTATTGAGTCCTGATGTGGTTCTATAGGACAAGTGCAGGACCACAGGTTGAGTTGAACCACAAGGTAGGTGATTCAAACTCACCAACTGCTCCTTGGAAACCCTACACTGGGTCGGTATGACTTTAAACCAACTGGACGGCACCTAACAACAAAAATCTTTATGGGAGCAGACAGCCTCATCTTTCTCGTGAGAAGTGCCTGGTGGGTTTGAACCACTGGCCTTGAAGTTAGTAGCCCAACAATTAACCCACTGCAACACCAGGGCTTTTGTGACAGAAAATTAGGCCAGGGGCTATTTCTGGCCCAGGAAATCGGCTGAACACGTGGGAGGGACACAGTGCTTCCAATGCGGCCCTTTCTAATGGCTTCTCTCTAAGCAGAGTGCTGGGTAAATGATACTGTTTTCTATTTTTCAGTTTGGTTGAAATACTTCATCATAAATTGATTGGGAAAAAAAAAAAAGAGGAGCATAGATGCTGTAGTGAGACAGACCTGAGCTGTAGATTTGTCTCCTCCATTTATTAGCTGTGGGAATTGGGTAAGTGCCTAACCTCTCTGAGCTCAGGTTTGATGTTGGGTTGATTTCCAGTTGGCTTTGACTCATAGCAACTCCATATGACAGAAAAGAGTTGCCTGAAAGGGTTTTCTAGGCTGTAATGTTTATGTATCTTTATGGAAGAATCCTGGTGTGGCACTGTAGAATCAGCACGGGATTGAGAACCACAAAAGTCGGTAGTTCAAACCCACCAAACCCACCAGCTGCTCCTCATAAACTCTATACAGGGTCACTATGAGTTGAACTGACTCAATGGCACTTAACAACAATAAACTTATGGAAGGAGCCCTGGTGAGGCAGCGGGTAAGTTAACTGCAAGATCAGCAGTTCAAACCCACTAACCTCTTGGAGGGAGAAAGATAACGGCAATAAATCCCGTAAATATTTATTTTCAGAAACCCGGGGAGTTCTACTTTGGCCCAGAGGGTCACATTGAGGCATAGTCAGCTTGATGGCAGTGGGTTTGAGGTTTTTTTTTGGTTTTGCTTTTAATCCTTACAGGTGCAGATCACCAGACCACTCTTTTGAGAAGCTGTAGGAAGTGTGAACCACCAGCTTGTCAATGAGTAGCTGAGTGCTTAACCATTGCACTTCAGTGTTGTTGTTGTTGTTAAGTGCCATCGAGTCGGGTCCGACCCATAGCGACCCTGTACAGGGTTTCCGAGGGTGTAAATCTTTAGTGGGTCATCTGTAAAATGGGCTCACAGGCTCCTTGAGGCTTACTGTCCTGGTCTGACTGTGCCTGTGAATCTTGAGACCAAGCTGGCCCTCAGACCCCCTGCCTAGGGCAGTCACAGCTCCAGCAGGGGTGGATCTCTTACTGACCCCTCGTCCTCAGATGTCTTCCATCACAGACAGACGGCACCACCTTCTCAGGCAAGGACCTAGAGCCACCACCCAGGTAGGATGGCCATTCTGCTGACAGACCACACTCCTTGGATATTTATTCTATTGGGAATTGTCCTTATGGGAGTTCTCCAGTTCATGGGGACCCATGTGCAATGGTATCAGGCCATTATGATCCACAGGGCTTTCACTGACTGATGTTCAGAAGGAGATCACCAGGCCTTTCCTCCTGAAACTTGTCCAGCATCCTAGTAACACCCAAGCCTCCACTAACTAAAAGGCGGAAGGTGCATTGGCCAGGAATCAAACCAGTGTCTCCCACCTGGGAGGTGAGAATTCTACCCCTGGACCATCACAGCTCCCTTGTCAGGAGCAGGGTGACAGTAACTGCAGGGAAAGGCAGTTTAGCCCAGTCCAGGTCTGCTCCACATGGGTCCAGTGTCCCATCTGCCTGCCCAACCACACAGGCTCCTGTCTGAACCAGGCCCCAGACTCCCTCTCCATGGGGGGACATGCAGACTCTCACTCTAAGGATTCTGGGAAAGTGATGATGGCAGGGTGGAGGGGATTCTGGCCTGAACCAGCCCCCTAGGCCTGTCCCCATAAGAAGTGCTGGAGAGTCAGGGCCCTCTTCCTCCCCCAAGTTCTCAGAAGGCCAGTCTGGGGGTGGGGTGGTGGGGCACACTGGCTGCCTGCCCCTGGGAAGGTGGGATCCTTGGGAGTCCTCAGGGTAGGCAGGGTGTCTGTCTGTCCCTCACACGCGCTCCTGCTCTCTGACACACATGCCCAGGTCTGGCTTTGAGGCAGGGAACGGGCGGACCCAAGACACCATTCTCATCAGACAAGCTGAAACACAATGTGGCTCATTTTTATTTCATCTCTAAAGACACACTCCTTTCAGAAGGAGAGGCAGTTAGATGAGGCCTTTCCTTGGGCAGCTCTGGGTGGCCCTGTGCCCCTGGGAACCTGGCCACTCTGACGCCGTTGCTCAGGACTCCCCAAAGGCCCCAGGCTCCTGTCCTGGACTCCAGCTTCATTGCCTCAAGAGATGGCCCTGGATTGGGGTGTGTACAAGCTCCGGGCTGCCAGACACTGTCCCGGTATCCTGCAGCAGTAGGACCCGACAGTCAGGGATAGGACAATAATAACATAAAAGGGTTTCCTCACACCAATGTCCCGTCCTAGACAAGAGGCGCAGCAGCTCTGGAACCCAGAAAAGTCCAGGCCAGCCAAGCTGCTACAGACACAGGTAAGACTTAAAGATGCTGGGACCCAGTCCCCTCGCTCTGGAGATGGGGGGACACATGCCACGTCAGCCAGGCCCTCTTCCTGTCCAGTGGGCATGGCCCTGCTGAGGGTCCCAGCACCCTGCTTCTCCCAGGTTTAACCAACCAGAATGACAAAGACTTCCTCTTCTCTGGGAAGGATCAGGAGATGCCTGCCCCGTCCTGGGCTAGCGAAGCCTCGAGGTTTACATCAGGAAGGCCCTTGTCCTCATGGGTGCCCCCTCTGCTCACCAGCCCCAGGGTGTAGCCATTGGGCCTCCGCTCTGGCTGGGAGGCGCTGCCATTGGCCCACACTCCCAGGGGCTGGTTGTGGAGGCGACGGCTGAGTTCCGCATCGCTGGTGCTGTGAGCCGCCAGAGCCCGGGCGCTGGTGCCCCCACCCTTGAAAGGGTCTCGCCGCCGCAGGACATAGCTGTGAATGATCTTGCGGAAGGTCTGGCGGAACTCACGGATACGGTAGGCGTAGATGAAGGGGTTGACCACAGAGTTGGTGTGGGAGAGGACAATGGCCAGGTACATGAGCCAGGGCGGGGCGTGGGAGCACTTGGGGCAGAAGAAGGTGAAGCAGTTGATGACGTGCAGAGGCAGCCAGCACAGGGCAAACAGTCCCACAATGATGGCCAGCGACTTGGCGGCATGCACCTCCTTCTGCAGCGTGGACCGGGTCCGCTCCCCCGGCGCCGGCTGGCTCTCCATCTGTTTCAGCTGCCGACGCGCCGCCAGGAAGATACGCAGGTAGACAGCCAACATGAGCAGCAGAGGTACCAGGACGCAGACAAAGAAGTTGTAATACACCATGTAGGTCATGGGCACCACATCCTCGAAGAGGCAGGTCACCTGGCCCATCCCACAGTTCTGCGAGAGGTTCCTGGTCTCCAGCCCACAATTGCTCCAGCCCAGCATGGGGGTCAGGCCGATGGCGAAGGACAGTACCCAGCAAATGGCGATGATGCCCTTGGCTCGTGTGCCGGTCACCAGCCCGTTGTACCTGGGGAGAGGAGACCAGCATCAACACCACCAGCCAGGCCCCTCTTCCCACCTACCTCTGCGTGGGTTTGAATCACCCACCTTTTGGCTAACAGTTGAGTGCTTATTCATTTGCTCGGCTTAATCCCAAGAGAGGACACAGTGGTGGAATCACCCATTCCATTTGTGGCTGCAGACACAGCCCGTGACCTGTGAAGCAAGCAACAACGCAGACCCGTGCAGGCAGCAGGCAGCTCCCGGCTGCTAAGCCGAGTGTGTGCCAGTGTGGTCTGACCTTGTCACTCTGGGTATTTTAAAGTTCCAACAACGAATTCAGATTAAGAAAGTAAAGAAAAACTGGTGGTTTCCAAACTCTGATCTAGTACCTGTATTTTACAGGTTGGGGACTAAAGGCCTGAGCAGAGGGACAGACTAGTGGGCCCCAGAGGTGACTCAGAGCAGCTAAGTGTCACCTCTTAATTCTGGATCAAAGCAGGCCATTCTCCGGGCACTGTGCCTGTCCAGAAGGGGCTTGGTGTATGCGTGCCCATGTCTTGGCCACGCAGGAAGGGATGTCCTGGACTCATTCCTTCCAACAGACAACCTGCCGTGACTGTCTGCTCCCTACTTGGGCATGAAGCTACAGCTCTTTTTTGTACAATGAGCACTGATGTGGCGCTTACTGTGTGCCAGGCAGTGTTCCCAGTCGTCTGCAGACAGCAATTTAAGGGGCCATGTTAACAGCAGGACCCCCAGGTGGCTTGGCAACTACACCTGAAGGTTGTGACCCTGGTAGAAATGCCTGTGCTTGGCTCCTGTAATGACAGCCGCAAAACCCCAGGGAGCAGCTCTACTCTGTCACTCCCAGGCTGCCAGGAGCCAGCCTCAACTCACCTACAACAGGCTCTATTCTCTGGCATTGAACAGCAGCTTAGGTTTGACACTTTGCTGAAGAAACGTCCCTGGGTACTGGCCCTGGTCCATCATTCCAGCTTCCTGTCTGGCCCCTTGGGCCCTCAGTTTCCTTGTCAGTAAGATGGGACCTGCCAGTATGGTCCCTGATCATAGAGCTGAGTAAAGTCCATTTGTCACTCAGAAGCTGCAGAGCATGGCTGGGGAGAAGGAAGCCATGCAGTTGGGCTCATTCACAGAAGGCCACCATGAGCTACCTGTCATGGAGAAGTCAAACTAAGCTGGACATGCTGTAGGGACATTGTGGGGCTGCTGGGCCCTGAAGGCCCCTGGTGACAAGTCTTCCTGCCCACATCCCTATGTGCCCAGGCACCAAGAGGCTGGGGAGGGGTTGGATGGAAAAAGGACTGAATAAACATGGTGGGGTGCACGTGCCTAGTTCCCAGGCTATGGAACACAGCACGGGATCCCTCATAGCCGAGCAAACTCAGGGGGGTGTGGGTGGGAGGCTGCCTGAGCATTCTGAAAAGAAAGCCTATGTTGGGCCAGACACAAAACATGTGTTAATAGTAAAACTAAAAAAAACAAACCCACTGCCATTATGCTGATCCTGACTCATCCTGACTTTATAAGACAGAGCTGAGCTGCTCTATAGTGGTCCCATGGCTGTAAGCTTTTACAGGCCCAGACTGCCTCGTTGCTCTCTAGGAGTTGCTGGTAGGTTCGAACCACCACTTTTTGTTAGCAGCCCAATGCTTAACCTACCGAACCACCAAGGTTCCTTGTCTAAAAAGAAAACCAGAGCCATTGAGTCGATCCGGACTCTACAGAACACCTATAGGACAGTAGGCCTGCTCCCTAGGGTTTCTGAGACTGTAAAATTATACAGGAGCAGATAGCCTCACCTCTTTCCCATGGAGTGACTTTGTGAATTTGAACTGCTGATCCTGCAGCTAGCAGCCCAACGCTTAACCCAAAGTACCATCAGGGCAATCACTGCGTTGACAGCAGTTATATCTGTGTATGAATAATTGTCCCTGGAAGGAGCAGTAAAAGAGTCAGGCCACCATCTTACTGTCTCCCTCTGGTTCCTTTCTGTTGGAATACATGCTGGTGTCATGATTAGGAAGAAGTCCCTGGCCTGGTACAGGCCTGCCCTGAGCTTCAGCTCACAGGCCACCACTGCCCAGGGCTCCCCATGACCACAATGGAGCTGACAACCTTGTCCATGGGAGCTGTGATCTGAAGAGCCTCCATTGCACGAGGAAGCTAGCTCCTAACCCAAAGATGCTCAAAAATGCCGAATGCCACTGTGATCCCTGCCCCTACTGCACTGACAACACCCACACGCTCACCTCTGGACACACACCTGCAGGGCCAGGGGCGTGCTACCAACAGGGCTTGTCCCCAGGCTGCCTAACTGTGCTACCTGCCCCTTGGAAGTTAGGGCAGAGCTGAGCTGCCATCTACTACAGGCAGGCCAGGGACATCAGTATCTGTCTCTATATTTCTGTGCTGATCACAGGGCACATGAATAGACAGGAGATCAAAAAACTAAAAAACAAACCCGGTGCCACCAAGTTAATTCCACCACAAAGTGGCTTGTTTCTGAGATTGTCAATCTTTACAGGAGCAAAAAGCTTCATCTTTCTATCACAGAGCGGCTGGGTGGTTTGAACTACCAAACTTTTGGTTAGTAGCCCTAAGCTAGCCCACAGTACCACCAGGGCTCCCTTTTGGGTATGCAAGCTGTTCCTATCCTTGCTCACGGTCTCAATTCCTGGGGTCACCAAGCCTCACACCTCTGGTTTCCTTCTCAAAAATCCTCTCCCACTTGGGGAAAGCAGATCTTCTTTCTTAAAACTGATTTCTTAAAAGACTTGTGAATGCTGGGGGCAGCCAGAGTGAGTGCCAGGCATCATCAGAGGCAGAACAGCCACAAGACCCCTGAGAGGGCAGGGCCACCACCCACAGAATCTGAGGACAGAAGGACTCATCCAGTAGAGACAAGCTGCATGCCCACCCAGCCCCAAACAGTGGTCACTTGAGGGCTTGCTCCTCACAGATTTTCCACCTGGGGCCTGGAAGACAAAGACTGGAAGAGACGACCCCTCATCACACAATTACACAAGCTAGGTCTCCTGTGAACTGGACTCCCCAAAGGGCTCCAGGATCACACCTCTGTTAGACCTTATGTTGGCCTGGAAGGTCTAAGCGGCACTGTGCTAACATCCACAGGCAATCGCAAAGCTCTGCTCATGAACAAGGCTCAGCATCACTGTCACTGCCCACTGTCGTCCACCTGGCCACCTCCCTCACAAGACCCAACCTTCCAAACCTCACTGAGCAAAGTGCAGATGGCCTGGGATGGGTAGTGGGCATGTGAGTGGGGTGGGGGCTCTGAGCCCTCATGACACCTCTGTGATCTCCAGGAACAGGGACGTCCTTGAAGTTGAGGGATCAGAGATGGACTTCAATGACACCGCATGTCCACCTGACCACACTTGGCGATAATCTCCTGACCCTCAGAAGGTGGGAAAGGAGAGACCAAAAACCAAGTCCCAGAAGCCAAGAAGAGCTGCCTACCGTCGACCGTCACATGCAGAGCCCATGGCCCTGACCATCAGGGAGACAGTGGGAAGAACAGGCTCTGCCCTCCCGTGAGTCCCCAACAGCACCCAGAGGGGGGCTCCAGTCCTGGGTTCTATCCTGAACATTGCCACGGACCACCCCTGTGAGTCCCCCAGGGCCTACATGTTCTCAGCTGTCACTAGAGAAGAGACAGTGATATAGGAGCCAGTTCACACAGACCCAACCAGTCCCTTCTCTTCTGATGAGGTTCCAGACCACTCCCTATACCCTCAGAGCTCAGGGAGTGGTAAGGGGTTACAGAGGGGTCCTGAGAGCCTGGGGTCAGAGTGGGCAGCAGGTCATTTCTTCCCCACCTTGGTCCGACCCATCATCCACTACAGTGCCCTGAGAACCTAGCTCCTCCTCTGAGCCTCATTTTCTATCCAGATAAGAGGAGGTGTCCCCTGGGGGCCCCTTGGATTCCACATTCTATATTTCCACCTGCTCATTCACTGTCAACAGGCAGTCCTATTCCATTTGGGGATCCCCCACAGGACTAGTTGCCCAATGCTTTCAGGCTACCTGGGCTGCAGGGACCCTCACACTCACTCTGTGATGGGATGCCACAGGGGGTACACTTTCTGCAACCTGAAGTTTGCGACATCCGGTCTGTGCCTGGGGCAGAAAGGCCAAGCTACGTAACCTCAGCCTCAGGGACCCTCACTGATACTTGAGAGCCACCAGGAAGGCCCTGGGCAGCTGCCCAAATGTTGGCAGTCCCTTACCCATGTGGGGCTTACCTGCTGCTCCAGAAACTCACGGTAGAGTATGGCCAATCCACTCCCTCTTCTGGGGTCACTTTCCTGTCTGCCCACTGAGGTACCGTCTCCAGAGCAGTCAGGGAGGGTGTGAGGCCTGCTGCTAGTCCTGAGGGCCTGTGGCTTCCATACTGCCCCACTCCTCGTTGGGTGTCCACTTTGTGTGTGTCCCTCCTCAGCCTGCTGCCCAGGCCAGGCCATGTACTTCTGCCTGCAGCCAAGCCTACCCACAGCCCTTGAATTGATCCTGACTCACAGTGACACTCTAAGACAGTGTAGAACTACCCCACAGGAGTTCTGAATGGGAATAAATGGCCTTGTCGGTTTCCTTCGAAGCAGCTGGTGGGTTCGAACCACTGACCTTTTGGTGAGCAGTCCAATGTTTAGCCCACTGCACCACCAACCAAAGGGGCCAGGCAGCCTCAGCACATGGCCTGGAGTCTGTGCTAACAGGGTCAGCTCTGCCCGGAGTGCCCAGCATGCAGAGCCCTGAACACAGGGTCTTCCCCCCGCCCGCCCCACCCACCAGCCGGTGCTCACCGGAGGGGGATGCGGATGGCGATATAGCGGTCAATGGCAATGGCCAGGAGGCTGAAGATGGAGCTCTGGGTGAGGACCAGCACGAAACAGGCAATGAAGAGGCAGCCATGGCAGGCGGCGCAGAACCCGGTACTGATGGTGATGGCGAACGGGATGGCCAGCACCCCCACAGCAATGTCGGCCGCCGCCAGTGAGGCCACGAAGTAGTTGGTGACATTCTGCAGGTTGCTGTTGAGCCACACGGCCCAACACACCAGCACGTTGCCCAGGACAGCCAGCAGGGCAATGGCCAGCTCCACCGTGATATACACTGAGGCACCCATAGCAATCTGGTTGAGAGTGGGCAGGCTCAGCGTAGATGCTGGCCGGACTAGCTCACGGTCCATCGCTGCATCCAGCACCAGCCGGTACTCCCTGTCCCTCAAGGGAGCCACAGGCACCCCTGCAGAGACACCTGTTCACAGACAAGACGACCTGGAGTCTCCGGAAACCGGGCCCTATCTGCAGGCTCCAGGGCCATCTCTGGCTCGCTGACTTCAGTCCTTCGGTACCTGCAGAGGAAGAGTCTATGAGCAGCTGCGTCCCAGTTGTGGACGTCCAAGGCCACCTTCAGTGCCACCCCACCTGCAGGCCAGGGGTCAGCTCACCCCAGGACTGTCCAAGCACCCTTTGTCCCTATGCTGGGCACGCAAGCCTCCTGGCTAGCCCACCCACCCCCATATCCACCGACCTCCAGCTCCTACCACTCTCCCTCCTGTTCTCCCTCGGAGCTGCCAGAGACCCCCAGAGCTCAGATCCTGGGGGGGCCAGGCAGCAGCCAGGCTCCCTCTCACAGCAACACTGCTTCAAGAAGCACAGCTGAGTTTGCCGCCCCCCGCCCAAGATCCTGGCACCACCCCCCGCCCACGCCCTCCCCACCTGCACCCCTGCGGATGGGGGTTGACTGACAGACTGGCAGCAAGCGGTGCTCAGTCAGGGATGTGTTGGGGGATTGGGGTGAGGAGGCGGCCTTTCTGGGCCTCAGTTTCCCCATTGATATTGCGAGATTAGAACCCTCTCCCTGAACTGATGCTATATAGAGTGTGGAGGTCACTGAGGTGGCCGAGAGCCCAGCCCAAACCCCAGGTCCCCATCAGCTGGAGCATCCCCCGCATTGCCCATCCTGCCACATCTACCAGATCCCCTGCCCAGTACTGGCTCCTCCTTCCTCCTGTCTTCATCCACACTGAGAGAGCCAAAACCAAAACCAAACTTACAGCCTTCTAGTCAATTCCAACCTTAAAGGACAACCTGTAGGGCAGAGTAGACCTGCTCCCCAGGATTTTCTCCCAGGAAGCGGCTGGTGGGTTCGAGCCACTGACCTTTCAGTTAGCAGTCCACCACCTAACCTAGTGGACCCCCAGGGCTCATTTGAGCCATATCCACTGACTGACAATCTCCTCCCGCCCCCCCCTCCCCCCAGTGCTGGGTCCTCCCTTCATAGTGGGGCCTCAGGTATGAAGAAGCAGGATGCCCACCTGTCAGCCCCTCACACAACCGTATCCTCAAGGGGACCTGCTTACCCTATGGAACTATGAAAGGTCAGCTGGGGAGCTGGGGTGCCGAGGCTAGGGAGGAGGGCTTCCCTGGGGACTGGGTTCTGAAAGGAGTACCCAGAAGGTAACGCCAGAGCAGGAGGGAGAGGGGACAAACCCTCACAGACTCCCAGGGGGCCTTTGTCACTAGCAGGTGGCCAGTCGTCCTTCTCCAGGCCTGCAAGAGTGCCCACCACCATGGCCCACCTACAGGTCCCAGAGAGTACATTCTGCATGGGGTACTGCCAGCAGCTCAGGGAGCCTGGCCATGGAGAGGGACTGCCCCGACCCCCTTCACCTTCCAGGGGTTTCCTGACTGTAGTCCAGGGCCTCTAGACCAAGAGGGTGGGCTTGGGCACATCCTGGGTTTGCAGAAGGACCCAACAGGCACTAAGTCCTGTATATCCCATGGCACCACACTGCCAACTGTAGCATCAGGTGTGTGGCTGACCCAACCCAGTGGGATCCTGAGTTGCACCCCTACGACCTGCCAGCCCTCAAAGTCTTCTCCAAGAAAAGGACAGTGCTGAACATCCTTGTCATGAACTCGGGCCCTGACCACTGATTAGAACAGCTGGGTTGGAAGGGGCCTCTGCCTGGGGCAGAAAGAGGCTAGGGCCATCATCTGTATCGAAACTCAGCCTGGTCCATCTGCAGAGGGGAGGCCAATGCTGGGAGCCTGTGCAGGACGCTGCCCACCCCAGCCCTGCCCTGGGGACCACCCCTCTGTACCCAGTCCTGTGTTTCCCCCAAACTAAATACAGAAGAAGGCACTGAGGCTGGAAGACAAGTGACTTCTCTCAGCCTTACTGTTCCTGCAGAGTCAGCTCAAGTCAGAGTAGAACTGCGCTCCATAGGCTGGTTTTTCGTGTGTGTTTTTTTGAGGGAGATGAGCAGGACTTTCTTCCGAAGCACCTTGGGTCAGATTTGAACTGCCAGCCTTTCTGTTAGGAGCTGAGTGCTTAACCATTTGCACCCCCTACAGACTCCTTCTCCCAGCCTTCCCGGGAACAGAGAAGGACTTCGGCAGTACATAAAACAGCAGAAGCAGGTGTCCTGGCCCTGTCCACTCTCTCCCTGCAGAGGTCTTCACCACCAGACAGGGCGAGGGGCTGAGGTGGGGGCCAGGGCTGGTAGTTCCCTACCCAGTCTCCATGGGTCTTGTGTGTCTAATACATTCTTGAGTAATCTGTTGCTAGCAGGAGGGGAAATCAACTATTAATATTGTAACACTGTTTCCCGGGTGGTTCTCTGGGGACAGGGTAGACAGCAGGAATAGTAACCACACATGGGGACCCGCCCGAGGCACCTGATGGGCAGTCACACTCACTACTCCTTCCTCCCCCACCCACCCCACCCTGGCTGGCCACTTTAATTAAAACTCCATTTAATCAAAACCCACAGACTTCCTGGCCATTCCTCCTGGCTCCCACACAGCCGGCCAGAGAGGTTCTTGGTACACAAGCCCAGATGGTGGCTGCCCCCTGAGGCTGCTGGACGGGGTGCCACCAGCTCCAAGCAGTGCCCACAAACCTGTTTCTGAGCGTGGCCCAGGCAGCAAAAGATATTCGTTGAGTGGGGACTCGGGGACCCACCATGTTCTTGTATGAAATGTTTATTAAATATCCACTCATGCCAAGTGTCCCAACTACCGGGCCATGAACAGCACTGTGATGCTCAAGAAATTGGACCGAGGTTCAGATACCACGGGTCACAGCCCGCACTCAGGTCTAAGATGAACCCACACACCAAACAAACCCGCTGCCGTCTAAACCATTCTGACTTGTAGCCACCCTACAGGGTAGGTTTGAACCACTAACCTTTCAGGATTAGCAGCCTAATGCTTAATCACTGTCCCACCAGAGCTCCTCATGTCTGACCCAAGCTCACTGCCATTGTGTCGACTCTATAGGGCCGACCGAGTCAGAACTTCACCCAAGGGTTTTCTAAGCCTTTAAATCTTTACTGGAGAAAACAGCCTCATCTTGAACCACTGGCTTTCAGTGAGCAGCCCAATGTTGAATCCACTGTGCCACTAAGGCTCCTTCACGATAATTCAACAAACCACATTTTTCAAAGAACATGCAGAAACCAAGGCCACGGGGGGTTCACAACTTTCCCAAAGAGGTGAAGATCAGACAGACATCAATAATGACTTTCAAACACCTTTGGGACTGTCCAAGAAAGAGGAAGGAAGGAGTAGCACCCATAAACAAGGATGCGGATGCAGGAAGCTGTGGGAATGAGACAAGAGCCAGTGAAGACAGGCAAGGATTGCCGCAGACACCCAGATGGGAACCAGAGAAGAGGGACCTCACAAAGTCTGTGGGAATGGAGTGGACACTGGCATGGATCACCGTAGGGTGGTCTCAGCTGCCTAGGGATGCTCCCAGAACTCCAGGCCCAGCCCTAAGCCATCAGTCCAGAGTGTGCTGTGCCTTCTGATGCCTGTGTCTGGAGCAGGATGTGGGCAGAGATGTGACAGAGGCCTCCACCTCACAGCAGCTTCCACACCTCAGGCCCCTCCCTGACCCCTGCAGCTCCTTCCTCACCCCAGGACACAGCAGGAACCCAAGGTTCAAGAGGTACCCCTTACAGGAGGTAAGGGTCCAGCGTCCACCTGGAAGGGTGCTGGGTGTCCCTAATGTGATGCAGGGCCCAATCCAAGTCCTTGCTCACTCCATCTTCCACTCCTGAGCTCTGGAGCTTGGGCTGACCCTCAAAGGAATCCTCCAATGTCAGACAACAGGTACTGAGCTGTGATGCATGGTGCGCTGCTCCCAGTGGCCACAGAGGTGGGAGGTGAAGGATGGTGGGGCCAGCTTCTGCCCAGCCACCTCTAAAACCCAGGTCCTTTCTGCAGAAAGACCTAGGGGGCTCCAGGAGCTCCTCAGAGCAGGGTCACCTGTACTTGCTTTGGAGGACGAAGACATGACGAGGCAGGGAGCAGGGAGAGACGTCAGGCCAAGAAAACAATACATGTAGACCTGAAGGGGATCCGAGAGCTGGGGGGTCCTGCCCCACCTGGGCTTGCTGCCCTTGGCTGGGTCCCCTGGCCTCCAAACCCACAGGGGGCTCCCACTCCTGCCACTCATCTCTGCCCCTTTCTATGTGCCAGCACTGAGGGGGGCTGCCCACTCTGCTTCCTAACTCTAAAGTCCAGATCCCTCCACTTCCATCCCCCCAGAGGCACTGCCACTCCTGCTGACCCTCCTCAACCAAGCCCCTGTAGACAGTCCGTTTCTGTGGCTGCCTGTACTTCAGGTCAGACCTTCCTGACCATAGCCATGCCCTCAGTTTTCAGTGCCTACACTGTTGCCTTAAAGCCAACCACTCCCTCTTAGGTCATTAATTCCTGGGACATGGTGAGGATCAGGACTCCACAGGCCAACTGGGGCAGAAGGTGGCACTCAAGCCCTCAGAAGCTGGCCAGGCCCCATCTGCCGAAATACCCATCACCTGAAGAAGACACACTGGAGTTGTCCTGGACCTCTGGACGCTGACAACTGGGGCACCGACTTAAACCAGGACCCCATCAATACTGGGAAGATGGGGAGGGAGTGTACACCACAGGACAAGGTCCTCATGGACCTTCTGGGGCTAGGCAGAGAGTTCCAGGGACTCTGGGGACCAGGACCAGCCCTCAGCTCACCCTGGGTCTGCTGGACTCCTGAGCTCTCCATCTCCATCCTCAGGTTGGCAGGGTAGGGAGGTGACAGAGAGTCTTCTGGAGGCTCCAGAGGATGGGTGCCCAAACCCTGGACTGTGGGCCGTGTGCACCCACCAACCCAGGTGAAAGGCGTTAGTTAGCCTAGGGCACCACAGGGCCTGTGGGTGCAAACTGTGTGCTTCAGATTTCAAGAGTAGTGCTGACTGGGTTGAGGGGTAAGGCGGGGTGAGGGGGAGATAGCTGCACCCCTCCAGCAAGATCCCCCACTTGTCCGTCCCGGTGGAAGGGGCTGGAGAGCGGGCACTCAGCAGCAAGATCCTGGCAACCCTTTTCCCATCTCGGTTGGGGCCGGGCCCCCTTCCGCTGCATGGACAAGAAGACTTAAGTCTATGGCTGCCGGGTGATGGGGAATGTGCTCGGGGCGCTGGGGTGCCTGCTGGAGCCCTCTGGTAGTCCTACGCCACACCCCGCGAAGGCCGCCAATTCCCGCCATCCTAGAGCCCCAGCTCCGGGGTAGCGGCGGGCGGACCTCCGCGTCCCTGCTAACCCCTGCCTCTCCGGGGCCCTGTGTCCCATTCCCACTCCCCCAGTGCTCTGTGCCCCTCCTGGGGGCGCCAGGGACCAACTAGGGCGCAAAAGGACCTACGGACGGACACCACTCCTCGCCCCCCTCCACGCGCCCCTGCCTGCTTTGCTCCAGACGGCCTGGAGGGTCGGCACGCCGCTGCCCTTCCGCTAGTCTCCTACTTCAGCCCGGCCCGGCCCTCCCGGTCCCAAGCCCGCCTCCCGCGGACCCCGGCCCGGCCCGAACCCGCTGACCTGCCACCGGTGCGGGCTCCGCCGTCTCGGCTCCGCGTTCCTCCGGCTTCTCGTGGGCGCCCCCTGCAGGCCGAGCCCGCCGCCCCGCCCCGCCTGCCGCGTGGGGAAACCGAAGTCTGCGCTGGGGCGCGTGGCGCCGGGCAACCGACCCTGGGAATAAAGGGTGCGCAGGGAAACTGAGGCTGCCCAGTGGCGGGCTCGGGACCAGACTGTGGGTGGCAAAGGGGGTGAGGAGTGCAGGGCACGAGGTCGGGAGCGGAGCGTAAGACGGCCGTTCCTCGCGCCGCGGCGCCCTCCTGGGGGTAGGGCCCCTCCTGCCAGCTCTACCGCCGTGCCACGCCCCCTACCCGAGCCCCCTCCGCCCCCTGCGAAGACCCCTATCTACAATGTCTGCGGAACAGCTGGAGTTGCGCCCCTCTCCTGTGTCCAACCCTCCCTCCCAAATTGTTCTTGGTCCCAGCTCTTACCTCGGCGTTCAAGGCCCTCGGGGGGCTTCCCGGACACGGGCTCCAATTTTCCAACGCCCTGTAAGTCCCTCAGGGCTGGCCCCTTCATTTTCCCCAGCAGCAGCAGGAGTGGCACCGGCGCGGGGAGGGACCCGGCCTCGCGTAGCGACCCCTGCTCAGTTCCCTCGGGCCGGGTTTCCTTTGGGCCATGGAGTCAAAGATGGGGCCGAGGGTCGGGCGGGACACAGGAGAAAAGACCAACCGGGCAACTAGGATCTTGTGCCCACCACAGGGACTGATTCCCAACTTCAGACCTGGACCCCCTTTTGAGGTGTCCCGCCGGACTTCCATCGTGAAACGGGGATAGGGAGCTCCAAGTATGGGAAGGAGGGGACCCAGGGGTCTTGCTGAAGAGGGCCGGGGTATGTGTAGGAAGGACTGGGGTGCTCTGACGGGGGTGGGCTGACCCAAGAGCGAGTGGGGAGTGGCCCCCTTTAGTCCCTCCCCCAGATCCTTACCTCCAAGGTAAAGCCCGCCCTCTCCGCCAGGTGGATCTGCAGCTGGGACTGGCTAGCTGGTGTACCCAGGGACTTCCCTGGGAGGCTGGAGACCCCTCTCCCCAGGCCCTTATCTTGTTGTCGCCCTTGCTTCTGGACCTCCCACAAAGTACAATGATTTCAAGAGTGGGGACTGAACCTTCCTGCTTACCTTCCTCACCCTAGACAAGGACACCCTGTAGGAGCCTCTCCTGGGCTCATGGGCCATACACGGCCTTTCTGCCAGGTCTGGGGGGCTCTCTTGTTCCCCAACCCTGAGCGTACCCCAAAAATATTTGCCATTGGAACAGCACCTAGAATGGAGTCTACCTATGGGCACACAGCCCAGCATGGGCCGCCTATGAGAGAAGTCACCATTCCTGCAGCTGTCCTCAGTGCCAGTGTCAAAGCTGTACAGGCCGCCCTGGGATCCGTGGGCAATGCCCACCCCCCAGGTTGGCACTCCAGGCCCTTCCTGCCATACAGCACTCTGAGCCTGTCGGAGGAAGTGGGTGGCCCCCTCCCTCCCACGTCCTTCTTGTCTGCCCAGGTCACCAGCTGGGCACTTGGGTGACACTCATTTTGTAGTGACCGGAGGTGATCCACCCTTCCAACGAGCCTGTGCTCCAGGCATGCTGAACCATCAGGCCGCCCTCTGCCTTCCTCAGAAGCTCCTGTGTCCAAGCTGTGGGTAGTCTGAGCTTGAAGGGCAGGTGGCTTGAGTAAGGGGTTTTGGGGTGGACCTGGACCTGCATCCTTGGCAGGAAGATCTTCCAGCTTGGGCCTTGGTTTCCTGGCCCAGCCTAGATGGATTTTGAAGGGTGAATGGCCCACTAGTCGACCACAGCCATCTGGGTACTGCTACCCACAATCTATGGTGACCATGTGCCTGTGCGTGCCCTTTGTCCCAACAGGGATGCAACTGTGCACGCAATCTCAGGTCTTGACTGGGAGCCATGTCCGGAGCAAGAAATGCCAGACCTGGGAGCAACTACCAAGTTGACTGAGGTACTCACCCAACTTCTCTTGGGGGAAGGGGGACTCGCACGCTTCCTGGGGCTCCACAATTAAGTGGCGCCTTCCTCTGGTTTATCCTGAGGCAGAATCACAGCAGGGGAAGTGACCCCGACTGCCCACTACACAAGACTAAAGGAGTATCTGATTCTAGGTGTGGGAACCCCATGCCCCTGAGCTGAGTACAGCTGGGGAAACTGAGGCCCAGAGGAGGTGCTGCATGTCCAGGGCCCTGTGGGCAGAGACAAGCCTTGGCAGCCCCTCCCAGAAGGGCCCAGAACCACAAGGCCACAGGCATGCTTGTGGTAACTGCCAGAACGTCAAACCAGCCAGTTCTCCTGACTTCCCTTATGTCTTTCCACTACCTTCCTGGGGCTTTGAGACATTAGCCCCTCCCTATCACTTCCTGGAGAGAAGGCCTGATAAGAGTTCAACAGGGACCTTTCTTGAGGCTACCCCTTCATTGAGAGCATCATCTTGGGAAGTACAGAATTGTGGAGAGCCTGGTGTCCCAACCCCAGACACTCTCCACACTAACACCCCCACAAGGGAGTGCCCTGCTTCCTTGGGCTGTGGCTAACTGGGGCGCCCCTTCCCCCTGTAAGGAGGCAGTAGTTATAGCCTTGTGATGCCCTGCTCTGAGGGTCAGAAACCAGAGTCTGAGCACCGAGTAGCAAGTGGGACCCATCCTCTGTAGACCTGCAGTCTGTCCCTGTTCCGTGGAGGCAACCTTAACAGCCCAGCTAGCTCATGTGACAGTGGAGTCAGGAAGTGCCCTGGACTGTCTCAGGCTGAGTGAAGGGTACAAAGAGCCTGTCTTCCCATTCCTACTATCAAAGCCACCTATCGAGGTTGGGGACACAGGACAGGTCTCCCCAGGAGTGCCCCACAGGTCTAATCAGCTGGGTGTGCCCCTGGGGTGTATATACCAGGACCAGGGGCTAAGGATCTTAAACTGTAAGAGCTGTTATATTTTGCTTACAAATGTGGCCTGGCTGGGCTCACAGGCTGGCAGAATGGGTGGGCTGGGTACCTTAAGGGCACTCACGACCACCTTGGCCTCCTTGTGCTGATCCACATTGGGGTGGGGGGGGGTGTATGATGACCTACTACACACAGTGAATGGCGGCCTGCAGGGCTGTGCTGTCAGGCACAAAATATGGGCAGGGGCCATCCTCGATCCTGAGACTGTCTCCATGCCCCCTTCCCCATGGCTGCGAGACAAGTATAAGTAGCAGGCCCTGCCCCTGGAGCCCCAGGCACCACTGGACAGGGGCTTGCTAGCACTCAGGACACAGCACAAGCTTGGGGGCTGTTACTGGATACTGCCCTAAGGCAGCGGCCCCACAGCACTCACGCCTGTGTGCTGTATGCATGGTGAGGACTCTCATCTGGGTGGGCTAACTACCAGTGAGTTTTACTTCTTTATAATATGTATTCTGAAAGCTGTCTGCAAGAAAACAACTATAAAAATAAAAAACATGGCTACCTCCCAGGAGAGCTGTCTGGGCCACGGCAGGGGCTTCCTGCTGGAGGGTTTCTGGTGTCTCACCTGGGCCACCCCACATCACAGTTGGGCTCTGTGGCACTGGGTCCTACGGGTTCAGACTGGCTGCCCAGGCCCATGCTATGCCCTCGGCCTGCCATCCACACTATCCACAGTGCCAACAGAAGAGCCCGGAAAGCACTCAGAGGGAACCCTTCCTGCTCAGTTGTCCGGGAGGCTGGGGTCCAGTCTCCTGCAACATTGTCCCAGGGGGGTGGGATGGGGTGAGGGGAGTCAATGAGCCAAGACAAGCATGTTCCAATCTTTTAATGCGTCCCAGGATATTTAACAGAACATAGAAAGCCGAAACACAGGAGACACACACCACTAGCCTCTGCGGTGAGCTGGGTGGACAGAGGCAGTTGGCGTGAGGCTCCCAGTCGAGGTGCCAGGAACAACACCACTTAAGTGTACATGGTCATCCAGTCATTCCTGTGAAGCCAGCAGCATTAGAAGAGCCTAGTGGACAAGGCAGAATGTGCGGCTTCTGTTGGAAGGAGCATCTGAAATCCTCTCCCATGGACCCAGCATGCTCCTGCTTCTGCTGGCTGACCTAGGCACAGTTGCTACAACCACTGATCACAGAGCAGGTAGTGCCATTCACACAAACAGGCTGGGGGCAGGGATCACCTGCCTGGGAGCAGTGGGGCTGTGATCTCCGACCCAGGAAAGTCTTCTCGCCATCAGATGAAGCTGCCCTGAAATGTCCCACAAGACCACAATAAATAAACAAGCCTGGATTGCTCCTGGGAACTCAGTCTGTGCAGAAAAAGACACAGAACAGTGGCCTCTCAGAACCACCACTCAGCACGAAGCTGCAGAGGGGACTTCGCGTCTGTGGGGGCCAGGGTCTGTACAGGTCATTGGGGTGGTCCAAGCTGATTGCTCGCCCAGCCCCTCCTTCTATAGCTGAGAGTACAGACACCTGAGCTACCAAGCCAGGGTCTCTGGGAGGGCCAGTAGGCATGGCACCACCAGCTTCGAGCACACATGGCCTGCTCTATCAGCCACAGTCCCAACTTGGACGCAGACCTCGTGGTCCTGCCATGCCAACACATTTGTGTCTGGTATCGTTCACACCAGTGGCTGCTGCATTTGGTGTCCATGGGTGTGGCCTCCTGTTTCCCTAGCCCAGGTTCTCTCATAGGACATTTTCATAAAGGCTCCGGTTCTAAACAGAACAGCTAAGACTCAAGGTGGGAGCCACACCAGCCGTACCAGGAAGACACCTGCCAACACAGCCCAGGGGTGACCCCAGTGCCTGGGGTGGTGGACTGGCCCTGCCAGGAGAGTTAAGGCACTTTCTCAAATTCTGGCCTTAAAGGAGGTCCTAGTGACTTAGTGTCTACATTACATTGCCTGGTGCCCAACCACAGTCGTTAAACTTCTTTCTCCGGCCACTTCCTGCTGCATTCCTTGCTTTTACCATGTGAATAATGTCCAGATTTTGAGTTTTGTCTCTGTTCCTTATGAAAGTTTTAACTTTGATGCTAATAAAATTGGAGCTATTTTTCCCAATAATGTGCATAGCAAAACAATTTAAAGTAGAACTCTTTTTCGAGCAATTCTTTTGAACAGAAACCTAAGCCCTGGAAGCCTGGAGGATAGGGGGTGGGTCTGAACTCTCCCCCATGGACAGGACCCCAGAGGCATGACATTATCCACAGGAGTGGGTACCGAGAACTGGGATACGCTGAGTCCATCACCTGTTAGCTCAGGTTTGCAAACACTAGAGCCGTGCTGATGAGCATGGCCCAGTCACGTGGGTGTAGTGATGTAGCAGAGGGCACTCTGCCCAGGTACCAGTAAGCAAGGACTGTACCAGCATCTGTACCACTTGGCTATCATGGGAACCATGCTGCAGAACCCCAACAGCCCAGGGCTAAAGCTTCACTAGGGTTCATGAGCTCCCTGTGTGTCAACCCCTTCCCTCACTTGGCTGTGAGTGAGCCCTAAGTTAGTCCAGTGTACACTTCAGAAAGAACCCTCAGCGTGGATGGTGCATGGCAAGTCCGGGGTTGCTGGAAGGTGTCTAACGAGGCAACAGTGTGGGCTGCAGCAGGACACCATCAGGCAGCCTCCCTTGGTCAGTTCAGGTCTCAAAGTATTTGTAGATGGCTGTCACGTACAGCATCACGTTCTGCCAGTCTGGCCGCTCTGTCCGCACCATCTCATTGATGTCCTGAGAGAAGGAAGATGATCGTGTCACATGCTGGCAGGGGACTCTCAGGTGGGATGGGCTCATGGGCTCTTAAGTCTATCTAAGGTCAACCACACCTTTTGAAGGCACTTCCTCCGCCTGCCTACTACAGCCTTCCTGGGGGTGGGAGGGCTTTACCTTCTCTAGGAGGCTTTTTCCCTACTGGCCCCAGGATAATTGTGCTGGGAATCCCTCTGGGCCAGGGCTCCCAAGCACCACATTCGAGTGACCTCTATCTGCCCTCCAGACTGACAGGGCAGAAGAAAGCCTGGATGGTGTGGTGCCTTCTAAAGACTTGTGTAAGCACCTTAGCACTTTTCTCTGAGCCCAAGGGCTTGGTCCATGGGAAAGATAGCTTGAGGGGGAATCCGGTGCACAGGAAGAGGAGGGCATGAGGGACAGTCCAGTCTGGGCTTGGCCCAGTAGATGTGAATATGAGGGAGGGTCTGGCAACAAGTCTGCAGTCTCTGGTCAGGAGCTGCCCCCCCAGATCTGTCTCCCAGAGTGCTCACAGGCATAGAGGACACCACATGTGAAACATAGGTGGCCATGCCTCTACTCAGGCACTTTCAACTGGTGCCAGTGTGGGCAGTGACAAGCCTATCCCCAGGCAACTGCATCACTGTGACCATGGTTTGAGCTCAACAAGACTGTCTTTTTGTCAGTGTGAAGCTGAGCCCTGCGGAATGCTTGAGAGATGGGACTCACCAGTGTGGACTTAATCCCAACGCTTTCTGCTGCCTGGAAGGCTAGCGTGAAGTTCCGTCTCTGTAAGAGAACTGATGTCAATGCATTGCGAGGGCACCAAACTCCCTTCCCTGCTCCCAGGAGCCCCCCAAGTCCAGTCATGAATGCTGGCCCAAGTGAGGAGGGCGCTGAGGCAGCAGCCTTGCAGGCTCACCTTGTCCTGGCTGTTGAGCTCCTGGTACGGAATGTGGGCAGGCAGGTAGGTGTGCAGGAGGGCGCAGAAGGCCAGCCCATCATTCCAACTGCTGCTGAAGTTTGTGATGTCAATATTCTGAAGGAGAAGGAGTGTGCATGAGCAACGCAAGCATTTGTCTGTTCAGGATGCCATGAGACACCAAGCCTGGGATAGGGCGGCTTCTGGGGATACCACAGCAGACTCCAGGACCCACCTGATGTTTGTGACCTGTGGTTTTATCAGCTCTTAGGAACCCTGGTGAGGCTGTGAGTTAGACATTGGGCTGCTAATCAAAAGGTAAGCAGTTCAACTCACCAGCCACTGCAGAAGAGAAAGATGAGGCTGTCTGCTCCCCAAAAGATGTACAGTCTCAGAAACCTTAGGGAGTAGTCCCCTCCTGTCCTATGGGATGGTTAGAATTTGGAATTGACTGGATGGCAGCGGGTTAGGCAGCCCTTACCACACCCCCTGCCAGTCAAAAAAGCTGCCATGGTGCTTCACACTCTCTCCTGCTGTGGGGCAGCCAGAGCTGGGCCCCGTATGATGATTACAAAATAAACACTGCACTGGGAGACATGCCTCCACCATGGTGGGTGTGGAGGATGAGGACTGCTGGGGTGACAAAAGAAACTGAGAACTCGGAGGACAGCCAACTGATGTCTAAAGCACAGTTTCCTAAAATGCAAATTCCCTAGGTCAGCGTGGTTTCCGCCCACTTCACTGTGGTCAGGCTACGCTGCTGGGGAAAAGCAAATGGGAGAGGAACTGCCAACACCTCAAGATGAAGTGTGCAGCTGGGCAAGGGCTGACTGCTGCTTTCTCCTGCACCCCATTGTTATCCGGCTCTGCTGACCAGGCTACCTGGCAGAGGCGCATCAGGGAGACAGTTGATAGCATTAGCAGCCAGTGACAGGGTTCAGACTTTCATGTAAAATTTAGAGTTTTATAAACTTGTATCTGCTGCTGTGCCCCTGACAGCTCCCAACACTTTGAGACTTTCTCTGGCAAGATTGCTGGGATGCTGGGAGATGGACTTTAAAACCCTTGAAGAGCACAGTCCTCTGAAAGTCACAATCGACTAAACAATCCATCTCCAGGGTCTCCCCATCACTTTCAGTCATTCAGCATCATGGGCAGCACCTACTATGTGCTTGTAAAAAAAAGACTGCTGACACTAACAGTTGGGATTATTGAGTAATGGGTGATGCTAACATCTGAAAGATTCATCAACCTGGGGAACATGGCAGCCCAGTGCTGGGTGAAAACACCAGTGTCCATGCCAGGCTGGCCCAGGGGTTCTGGTGGACAGAGGTGGAAAGTTACCAGTTCCTCTTGTAGTCCACATCGTGCCTAGCTCTCAGGAAAACATGACTTGTCACATTTCGGTTGAGTGTCAGACACGAATGTCAGAACCATTAGATCAAAACCTCCCTGCCTGTGCACAGCCGGACTTTCTTCAGACCCTCTCTTCTGGATACTGAATGCATGTGCACAAAGGAAAACCCAGCTTCTTCTAAAGGCAAATAGAAAAGCAGCAGTGCCTTTCTCACTATTGTTTTGTTTTGTTTTTTTTAATTCTGGAAAAAAGTTATTTTTTTTATAAGAAGCGTTAACTAACATACCACACAACACAGGTTTCTAGTTGTTATGTTAAAGGACTACGCAGCCATCTTCCAATTTAAATCTTGACTCATTAATGCTGAAAGGCACACCCACACCACTGACCCAGGTCGCCTAGCAGGCCTGTGAGTGAGGGACTGTCATCAACACCGTGGGTGCTAGGGGTCCAGCTCACTGCTCTGGGGCCACCTCATACTACATTCAAAGTCAGGGTCATTCCAAGTAAGTTACTCTGTGACATGTATGTGGCTTGGCCTGTATGCACCTCTCCCTCATTTGCAAGAGTTCTTTAGAAGATCAACTACACACTTCAACTGTACTAACATATACTCTGGGTAGATTTTGGACCTGTGGAGGGGTAGAATGCACACTTCCTGACGGTTCTGGTTTGGTGTCTCACTGTCCAATCACCAGAGTGAGTTTTCCAGGAGAACCAACCATCCTGGGTACATTTCTTATGCCTCCTAGGGACAAGTAACCCACAGAGTGACAGACACCAAGACGACAGCCTCCTGAGCAGGACATACATATAGCACACACACGTACAGTCTCACAAAACATACATGAACAGATATACACACATGCACACAGTTGCACATATACACATACAGACACATCATCTACAGGTGCACATACATGCATGGCACACCTGCACATGCAGACACACATAGCACACACACACATATACATATCAAAACAGATGCAGACACATAACTGCACAAAACACATGGCCTTGCACAAACATATATATGCATGCAAATACATCACACACGTTGTTGTTGTTAATTGCCATTGAGTTGGTTCCAACCCATAGCGACCCTGTATAGGGTTTCCAACAAGCAGCTGGTGAGCTTGAACCACTGACCTTACAGTTCAAACTGCTTTGCAGTCTGATGCATTAACCCACAGCATCCCACCAGCACTTTCTCACACACGTACAAAACCTACATGCACAGCCACACAAGTACACACAGCCCACATGCATTCAAACACACAAATATACATGTGTGCACATGCACATAGACATACAGCACACACAAACATTCAGGCACACACATGCAAATACAGGCAAAGCACACATGCATGCATAAACACACACAGCCATACACCAACATGCATATCATGGCACAGCAATACAAATATGCAAATATGCATGTACAGGCACGCACATAGCACACATGCATCCAAACACATGTACATACAAACACAGGCACCACAAACATGTACACACATACAGATGAACATAAAAATGTGCATACACAGACATCCACAAATATACAAGTATACACACACATACAGATGCTGGCACATGCACACACAAACATACACATCCATATAGACATACATGCATGCACAGACATGGGTACGGGCACAGACACACACACAAACATGTATACAAGTACAAATGTATATGCACACACCTACAAACATACATGCACGCACAGTTACATATAAGACACACATGCACGCACACATGTACTGACAGACATGGGTACACACAGAGATGAATTTCCGGAAGCAGCTGGTCTGGCAATCAGCTCCACCTGGGAAGGAATGTGATCTAGTATGAGGTGCTCGGCTGATAGCAGAGGAGGATGGAATCATGTGGGCAGTTTCTCAGTTTGGTTCCCACAATCACCCAGGAGCATTTCTGTTTGTTTCTAGATATGGGGCTAAGGCTCTGAAAGACCAAGGAGCCCTGAGCTGGCATCCACATCCACATCCCAGACGAGTATCACTGTTCCAAACACTCAGGGAAACCCGGCTCACTTCTCAAGGACTTGTCCGAGGTCCGTGAGCCGCCTACCATGACTGGGCACCTAAAAGTTTTCTTTTCCTTGGGAGGAAAACGTATCCCTACTTCCTGCCTGCCAGCCCCTTCTCCAGCTCCCTGAAACATGGGGTCTTGGGCAAGGCCGCGTACGTGCAGAGCCTCAACGCCTTCGCCAGAGGAAACGGCTGTGTCTCAGCTGGCCCAGCTTCCTCAAGACAAGGCCAGGCTCCAGACACAGGGAGTGCGCTTCCCATCCTCCCAAAGCCGGCGCCTCAGGAAGAGTTGTGGCTTCAGTCACGAAATACAGGCTCCCAAAGATGCGCGACAATTTAAGGACAATTCTATGTTTGCATTTAAAAAAAACACACAAAAGAAACAGTGCTGTCAAGTCGCTTCTGATTCATAGCAACTCTATAGGAAAGAGTAGAACTGCCTCATAAGGCTTTCAAGGCTGTTCATCTTTAAGGGAGCATATGGTCTCATCTTTCTTGTGCAGGAATAGTGGTGGTTAGCAGCCCAGCACTTATCCCACTGAACCACCAGAGCCCCTATGTTCACATTATGGCAGACAAAAACAAGAGGACTGACTAGGACACAAGTTCAAAAAGCTTTGTGCACAGGCTCGCGTGAGGAGCTCTGACCGTAGAGGTGCCCGTTCTGCATCTGGGAAATGTCAACCAGGTCTAAAGACGGACAGTTGCCCTGCTCTACTTGTAGGGCCAAGCTAAAACCCTGCCTCCCTCTACTGGGTAGCCATCTGTTATAGTGACCACGGGCCTGCTCAGCCTCTCCACCTGGCCTCCCAGTGGGGTCTAGTCCCAGTCCCTTATTGTGCACTGGGGGCTATGTGGTGCGGCAGGACAGCCCAAAGTAACACAAAACTTTACAACATGGAAAGAGAAAAACTCTCATAGGTCTGAAGTTTCATCCAGGGCAATAAAATACGCCCCCAAAGACCACATGCTCATTAAGTATCTAATACGGTTTTGATCTATTTAAGGAAATGCTGCTTTTGTGGGCAGGAAGCCAAAGTGCATGAGCTGTCATTCTGCTCACAGAAGTGAGGCCAATGTCCTCGTGCCATCTGTGCCCCCGAGCTGTGGGCTGCAGCTGAATGCACTCAGGAAACACCACCAGGCCTACAGCCTGGGCCTCAAGATGTCTTTGTGTGCTATAAAACACCAAGTCCCTGCCTGCAGAACCTAGCTGGGCCCTTGAATCTGCCATGTATGAGAGTAAGCAAATCAGAAAAGAAGCCAGAAAACCATCAGACACTGTTCCTGTCCTCCTGGCCAGGGCTTCTGTACATGGAGGCCTAAGCGGCATGGGAGCCTTCACCAGTAGGCTGCCTGGTCCCCACAAAGGAACTAAGCTTTGGTCCAGGCCAGGAGAGAAGGCAGCATTTTTACCAGCAAGATTCCCAGGCTTGGTTCATCATGAAGTCCAGCTTATGTGGGAGGGAAGGAGAAGTGAGGTAGGCAGCTCTGGGTGGCCCTTGGTCCTCACTGTGCAGAATCCCATGGGAAGGTCTCCAGTTACGTGCACTCTGCCCAACCCAGAGATGCTGACACAGTTAGCCATGTTCTTTAAGGTCACTGCAGCAGGAGCAGTTGAAGAATTGCAGCAAGGATGGGTGCAAGAGGCAGGAACATAACACGTAACAACCGTGAGTCGTAGACGTGCCTTTGTCCTTCTACCCTGT